TCATACGGACCGTGACGTCGGTTTGCGATTCGTGTGAGTTAGCAGCACTCGGCAGTCGGTAAGACAGGACGAGGCGCGCCTCGTGCTGCTAACTTCACACTCATCGCAAACCTCCGTCTACGGTCCTAATGACACAATATACTATTGTTTATTCTCAATGAATCAACATTATTCTTCGACAAAAAAATGAAAATTTTTGTTAGCTTGGTCAAAAACATCGATGTTCGGAAAAAAGAACCGAAAATCGATTAAGGATGTACTACACCCTTTCGGCAAAAATTCACGTTTTTTTCATTTTTCTGGCAAATTATTGATCGGATTGACGCGAAATAATATACAGTTTTTGCGTTTTTTTTGTTATTGACTGACTTACGAAGTTTCACGGTAGTGCAATCGTTTTCCTGCATTTTTTCTAAAGTTTTGTGAATTTCCCAAAAGTTTTAGAAAAAACTCAGAAAAATTATTGCACAATTATGAAATTTCGTGAGTCATTAAGTAATGATAAAACGCAAAAACGGTATATTTTTTCACGTCAATCCGATCAACAATTTGCCAGAAAAATTAAAAAAAAACGTGAATTTTGGCGAAAAGGGTGAATACATCCTTAATCGGCCATTCAAAGCATCGAATGAAAAACGTCGATGTTTGGGCATGAAAAATCGATGTTTTCGATTAATCGACAAACATCGCTCATCCCTAGCACGTGGCGAAACCCCCTAGTTATCAGACCCACCTGAAGCACGATCAAAACTTGATCAGGTTTTTGTAAGGTTCAACTGATCCGGTGATTCCTGATGAGAACCTGACCACGTTCTGATCGAGCAGATCGGATTCGAAAAACTACAGGCGGGTTCAGATCAAATTCTAATCAGGTAGACATGATCAGATGATGCCTGATGAGAACCTGACCAAGTTCTGATCCAGCAGATCGGATTCGAAAAACTACACGCGGGTTCAGATCAAGTTCTGATCAGGTAGACATGATCAGATGATGCCTGATGAGAATCTGACCAAGTTTTGATCCAGTAGATCGGATCCGAAAAACTGCAGGATGATTCAGATCAAGTTCTGATCAGGTTAGGCACAATTTCACTCTGAGGTCGGCTGCCCGACCCCAATTTGATCAAATTCCGATTTGATGTCTTTGATCGGCATTTGAACAGGGTCAATTGAAGAGAAAATGATCAGATTCAGATCCGGTCCACCTGACATTAATTTTAATAAGTTTTTCGGATAACTTAATTAACTATTATTATACTGTTCAAATTAAGCTTTATCAACCATTATCAATAATTATTTTCAATCTTTAAAAAGGATCATTAAACTATAATTAAAATAAATTAAATTAAATCAATTTAATTTAATTAATCAATTTAATTAAGAGCCATCCTTTCTCAAAGGTACAGAAGGGACGGATGATGATGCCGTAAATACGTATTAGAGGAGTATCAAACTTACACGCGAATGATCTTGAGAAAAAAAATCACCAAATATCTATTTATTTATTAGTGTTATTGTTATTATCATTATGATAATTAATTAATGAAATAAATAACAATTTAATTGAACATATTTTATCTCTGAGAATACACACACACATCCGCGTAATCAGGAATAATCGTAAATTCAACGAATACCCCGATACAAATCATATAGACAATGTACTGTTTACTCAATAGTAATAGCGCGATAGCGTAGTCGTTAGGGCAGAGGATTAGCAATCATAGGGTCCCCGGTTCGATCCCCAGCATCGGTAAAAAAATAATAAGTTTTTTCAGAGGTAAAAACAGTAGAGATTCATTAAGAGAGGCGGCCTACGGTGAAAGAATTGAATTATCTTTTGTTTTGGATTAATTATCATTAATAATTGTTATTGATACTGACAGACAGGTCATCCGGTTTTCATACAGTTGACTTGATCAAGTTCGGATCCATTCGTCCTGATCAAATCCGGATTGGTCAGAGACGTAACATGTCTGATCAAGACCGGATCCGTCAACTTGATCAATACCTGATCAGTGGTCAGGTCTAACCTGATCCAAACTTGATCAAGACCTGACCGGAATTTCCACTCGGGTAGTTCGAGTCTCATCATTGTCGAGATTGTCTCGATAAAAGAGATTGAGAATCAAAAATATTGTTAATGCAATCAAAGTTGTTTGACACGATTACAAAATGATTTCCCATTGAATAATTTGATCATTAATGATAAAGCTAATCAGAGCTACAGATAAGCGCACCATTACGCAACATCCAATTTTTGTTTTCTTACAATAGACAGCATTTATCGGAATCAAATCAATAAGTTGCGCGTTTCGGATAAGGGATGCATTTACATATCATATCACTTAAAGGAAGATTCTCGTGATTTTTTAACATCATGGGTTATTGAAGTTAGAATTTCTATATATTTCCCCTATATTCCATACATTCAAACGGCAATCATTAGTATGAAAGAAAATAATTGTTTATTGCCTGATACACAGCAAAAACGCATGTCTGAATTTTACACGCCTTTTGTAGACATTTTTCAGACACTAAAAAATGGCTGAATAAAATGGAAATTTGTCTGAATTTCAAACATGAATTAAGATGTTTGGGCACCTGTTCGTCTGAATTTCAAACATATTTTCATTTGATTCAGACGTTTTTTAGTGTCTGAAACGTGTCTACAAAAGGTGTGTGAAATTTAGACATTCGTTTCTACTGTGCAATCGTGTAGAATGATCGTGATATGTTGTCATTTGTGAAAATTTTCTTAAATTATTTGCGAATGTTCTTAAAAATGTTTCAAAACGGTGTAGATGTCCACGTTGGCTTCTGGCAAAATCTGCTTACCTGTGTGTTATTGTTCACTTGAGGTTGAGGTGCAAGGAAAATTTTTTAATAATTATTTTAGTTTTTTAAAAATTATTGTTGTTCTGTGAAGGAGGAAGGCATGCGTAGATGTAAAACAAAGAAAAACTTTTGTAACATCAAAGAAATGAAGAATTGAAATTGAATACTTTTCCCGAGGGGCTACTCACGCCCGAAATCGCGGCGCCACTGGCATGAAATCATTCCGAAATCACTCCGAAATCGTGTGAAATCACAGAAATCACT